GAATATCTTTATTATATGATCTCCTAAGAATTCTTTTCGTTAATTATTTAAGAGGAGATTTGTTAAAATGGATCATGGTTTCTCTTGATTTCTCGAATTTTAGACTTGATCTTTCATTTTTTATGATTGAAATAATGATTGAAACATTGATGATATGAATGCATAAAATACTCATGATATTGTTTTGATACTCTAAAATGATATAAATTTGCTAGCTTATGAGTATCATGTATGATATGATGATTGATTTATTTGTATCATGCATGAAGGATACAAATGTAAGGTTTTGAAATTGTGCATGTTTTAATTTGAAAATATAATGATACGCAAATAAGATTGATACTTTACCTTTGTTATGATTTGAAAATTGTTGTAAAGGGAAAAGAATTATAAAATTATATTCTTCCCTTCTTTTTTACAATGACAAAGGGAGAGATAAAGTATTGCTAGCTCAAACATTGCAAAGGAAGCAAAAATTACTAGCTTGCAAATTGCATGGAGAAAGAAATGCTATCTTGCAATATCAAGCAAAAGTGCTATCTTACCTATCTCAAGAAGCAAAACATGCTAAACTTGCACATCTAGCAAAATTTACAAACTTGCAAAACTCAAAAGTTTTGCTAAATTGCATGATGATAAAATTTGATATTATGTTTATTATGCAATGATTTGAACTTGTATATCCAAACATTTGAAAGTTACACTTCTCCTTTTTGTTGATGACAAAGAGGGAGAAGTATGATCATGTTATGCATGATGAAATTTGCAATGACTTGAATTCAGCTTGAATTCAAGGTTCTATTAATATGGCATATTGATAGGGGGAGTTAAGATTAACTCCATTCTCAATTGGTTGTCATCATAAAAAAGGGGAGATTGTTGAATCTCAAATTTTGATGATAAAACCAATTGATAAGTGTTTATGATTTGATATGTGTTTTGAGTGACGTAGGATGCTTCGATCAGTGAGAGACAATTAAAGCAGGAAGAATCATGTTGGGCCGGAGAAAAATATGTCAGACGATTTGACGTCGCGCTAGAGGATCGATCGACATATCAACAGAAGGCTTCGGGCCATGGATTCGGGCATCGAGCCAAGAAGAGCGGATATTGCGCCAAGGATATCGAAGTTGCAGAGGTCAACTGGCCGATTGGGCAATAAGCCGCAAGAGAGGACGATACGCCGAAAAATCGAACGAAGCGTCGATGGACCAATGACATGCCGGACAACATGATTCATGCTTAGTAATAATTGTCTAGATCGAAGTGTGTTTTTATATGTGCAGGATTAACTACAATAGCAAGGCAGAAAACAAAATGAAGTCCCGGAGTCAAGAACGCGATTTCGTTGGGAGTTCGAGAGTTCGTCGGAAGTCCGGACATTCGTCGGAAGTTCTGTTGGAACCAACCGAGAAGTCCAAGAGCTTGTCGGGAGTCCCCCGAAACATTGCCGAGAGATCGTCGGAAGTTCGCCGGAAGCTCGCCAAAAGAAACCGGACTTATTTTGCTCAGAATGTCTTAGAAATCGTAGTTAGTACATAATTAGAGTTGGGATTGGGAAGCAAAACCATCAACTCTGTTAGGGGCCAACTAGGCCCGAAGTTAGGCTGGTTTGGGCCGGATTCAAGGCCTAACCAAGATGCTGAAAGCTTGGCCGGCGATGGCACCGCTTGGGGAACAACACCCTAGGAATTCTGGGCGATGGTACTGCCCAGTGGCAGGGTGCCAAGTGGTGGCACCGCCCTTGTCAGGCGGTGGTACCGCCCAATGCAGTGTCAGTGTCAGTCTGACACTGGTGGTGGTACCGCCCGTACCTAGGAAACCCGGGATGGGATATTTTTAGGCTCCAAGTTTGAATCAACTTAAGCCCTATAAATACCCCTCTCATCCCTGGTTAACAAACACAAGTATTGAGAGTAAAAAAAGAAAGAAACGCTGTTGTAATCTTGTGTGAACTCCTCTCCTTCTTCTAAGTGTTAGAATAGTTTGAGAGAGGAGTAATTGGGGGTGTAAGGGTTATTTCCTAAACCCGATAAATGGATAATCGAGTTGTAAAAGGTGGTTGGTCTTCGCCTATTGAAGGAAGACCGATAGTGGAAGAGGAATCGGTGGAGTGGATGTAGGTCACGACGACCGAACCACTATAAAAATCTGGTTTGCGTTTTGTCTTGAGCAATTTACTTTAATTGCAAATTGTCTTCTCATTACTTGTTACGCTCTTCTTACTGCCTTCAAAGTTAAGCATTTCCGAAATCGGTTTTATCGTACGAAACGAAACAATTTGAATCCATGATTTTACCGTTGCACTAATTAACCCCTCCCTCTTAGTGCCGACTCATTCCTAACAGCTTCATCGCAGCAGCCGGCCCTAAATGTTGAGAATCTGCAACAGCCTCAACCATCAGAATCCAGCAGCAGCTGACCCTAGAGTTGAGAGACAACGGCTTCGTCAGAAAATCAAAGAAGTCCAACTGGCCCTAGAGTTTGAGAGAGGAGTCCGCAGCTTCTTCTTCAACAGTCGTAGCAGCAACTCCAGCAACAGTGGTAGCCATCCACAACACCCTAAGGAGAGCTGCTGGCGACTGAGAAAGAGGAGGAGAGAGAGACAGAGAGAGAGGTGGCAGCCAACTTGCAGCCTCGAGAAGTCAAGCTTGTTGCTAAAACGAGTCTCTTCGTAGTTGCATGTTTTAGGTACTCCTTTTTAAGAGCAAAATAGATTGTTTCCTTTCTAAATTTCTTCCTGTAGTGGTTTTCTCAATCGTCCCAAAAGATGTAAATTTGCTCAGAGGAGGGATCAAAATCGAGTCCTTCCCCCAAACAAATCACGGGAACAGAAGCTAGAGGAGATTTACATGATTAGGATCAAACAAGCAAAAAAATATTGATACTCTTAAGTCTTAACACCAAGTGGTAACCAACCAAAATGATGAGTTCAGCTTGATTAGCCTCAATATGGATTAAAACTAATCTATATACTGCAGTAACCAGATGGCATACAACAGAACATTGTGAACACCACTACTAGATGCCATTTCAGTTTGGCACAGTGCATAATGTTCTTTATAGTTGATGTTTTAATATTGCCTTCGTTCGTTTTTTTTTTTTTTTTGGAGAGCTAGTTAACAGTTTAGTTCCATATGCTTCCACTTGGTAATTCCATAGGATTTACTGACATTAAGGATGGACTACCCAATATTAGATCATTAACATCATCATCAAATGCAAGGCAGTCTTCATTTCATCTAGAGATATGCAGCATTAAAGGTTCACTTCCTCAGAAAATAGCTGCAACAAATCCATTGGGTCCTAAGCAGATTTTTCATGCCATCCTTCTACCTATCAGAAGAGAACCAATTATAAAATGAACAATGATAAAGAAAGAGATGATTATACAAGGAACAGCCTACCACATAAGAGATCATAACAGATACATCTTTTTTCACTTGTCAAAAAGAATTTGACATAAATTGCACATCCGCAGGACACAAGCAGATTAAATTTCTAAATACCCATCAACATTCCTTGGCAAGATTATAGATGCATTTTTCTAGTGGGATGTGGTCAACCACATATATGTGAGGCATCAATATGCTTTTTTTTTTCACTTGGCACCATTTGATTCGCGTATGAATCACTGAAACTTGCATGTAACTGTACGAAACATATTCTAGTATTTCAAATGTTTTTTCCTTTAGTAATCTGCAGTTGCAGGAGAAATCACAACTCTCAAAAGCTAAACTAACAGAATTTACCACTTAAACCAAAATTTACAATCTTATTTTCCTGGAAAAACAACCTGGCAACTTCAACAGAGGCACTTCTCTTGTTCCAAAACACCGACTTTCTTTTGCTCAAGTGTTCAATCCTAAATGCCACAGCTCATCAAAGTGTCATGTACCAAGCTGAATACTGATGAAGGCTAGCATGGAAGCACATAATATTGCTTATGATACCTCAAAAGCAAAGGCATAAATGACTGAGATCCTACACAATTTGTCCTATCAAATATGAGGTTGGATAGACCACATATAAAATAAAGTATCTGCTCTTAAGAAGACCTTTCTGTGTCTTTTTAATCTGGAACCAATCCAATGGATTCCTATGTTATGTATGTCTAGCAACAAAAACATGCCACAGTTTGTCAAACCATGGTTATTTAGCAGAAACACAAAACATGAACATGCATAACTACACTAGGCTCACATCATAGAACAAATACAAGAAACTCAGCGAATAAGGTCCCAATGTTCACATGCAAAAAAACTGGTTCTGATAGCTAAGATATTTACAGAAAACTCAATACACTAACCTTGAGATTGCTGACAATTGACTGAGCATCAACTACAGAAGGCTGGAGACCATGTTCTGATAAAAGAGGTACTAAAGAAGATACAAAAGTTGATCTCTCTGCATGTGCCGCCTACATAAAGAACAGAAATGGATACAAAATCTCATTACTGATTGACAGTGCTGAAAATTACTCTAAAGAAATCAATTGATTTTTCCTACACACTAACAATACCCAGAAAAACCCATGATTTTGAATGTCAAAGCAGTTAATAAATGGCTACAGATCATAAAATGCTAGAAAAGATAAATCAATCTGCATCAGAAGCAGACACTAACAAAACAACCCAGACAATCAGGAAATCCTGATCTGCAACATGGAACCAGCTGGAATTTTGTTTGGCTGAGATGGATTGGTTGATCTGCCAATAATTTTTTAAGAATGGCCAATAACAATCTAACCCAGGCCAAGTTGGATTCACCAACTGCCAACCAAATCTAGCCAGATTGGCCAATCCTACTCGATCTCAACCGATCCGACAAGATTTAAGAAAGATAATACTTTATCCTATTACTTAGAAGAATCCGACAAGATTTAAGAAAGATAAAACTTTTTCCTATTACTTAGCAGAAAATGTAACTCAACGGGTAGTATTAAATAGGAACAACCATTAACCAATAGAAACTCATGTGTATAAATATATTCAAAGTTTTACATGTCAAAATGACGAGGAAGTTCAATAATCAACAAGAAACAGTACTTGCAATGCATATGTTAGACGGATGTTCTCTTCAATAATATCTTGTCTGTAGGAAATAGCTTTTGATGCTGCATCAACCAAATCCTGCTGTTGCTGATCAAATGCCTGAATCATTGATTTGTGAGATTTCTTTAACTTAACAATGACAAGTTTAATATCAACAATTATAGAGTTTCAGGATAGTGATAAGCTTGCTCACCATACGCATATAAGCAATACGCTTTTCTAGAACATATTTCTCATTGCGTATTTGTGTTTCCTATAAACAATGTACCACAATTTGATTAACAATAGAAATTTCCACAGCCAAAGAAGGGATATAGAGACTATATCATGCTTTCATTCACCTTCACTGAATAGTCAGCAAGATGTTTCCTTAACTGAGCTATTTCTTCTTCATGCTCTCTGACCTTGACAATGAGTTCCTGACAAAAATAATATCTCACTTCCAAACACAAGTAATTGCAATTGCAATTCTAGAGAAATAGAAAATACCTGTTTCCAGAGAATATTTGAATTGATACCAGTCACTGGCACCAGTCCATTTCCAGGTGAATGAAACCGCTGATCATGTTCTCCATCCTTCTGTTGCCTACCAAAAGGGTATACCACATTCAACATCATAAATTGTCAAGGCTGCATTCAAAGATTCATGGTATAAATGTGACATAATAAATTTCCATGCTGCACATAAGCTTACCTGTTAGGAGAAAGGGATCTAGACGATGGTGTAGAGTACTGAGATGGACCAGCACTATCTCCACCAGACTGTGTTCCAGGAAATTTTTTTAAATCTCCATTAACCTTGTTGCCCTCAAAATAATGTTGATTTATTGTGCTAGTTTTCACAGAAGATTCCTCCCTTCTAGCAACCCCATTCTGATGAATTACAAGCATACCCTGAGGATTCAATGAAGAACGATTATCCACCCATCTGTTCCTGTCCACCTGAGTTCCAGCTGAAGAATTAGAATGATGAGTTTTGTAGGCCTCCACATCGTCATTTGTTGGTATCTCAGAAGGTCTTGAAGATGTAACCTCTAATCTCTGAAAAATAGAATGGAAAAAAGTCATATCCACGAGTCAGATCTGTGAAGGCATCGAACATAAATTGATCTTTAATTGCTTTTGTAATAATAATGGAATATATCACAGAGTCAATTACATCATACAATTATGAAGCCTGTATAAATCTTCCTGGAATGAACCCTAATCAGAATAGTTAACAAAATCCATGCAAATACCAATAGATCACATATTGTTTCTAACACATTTACATAAGGCTTAACTTTTTTGTTGGAAAAGTAGATGACAGACTCAACCATATACTTAAGAGGAACATACAAGAATAAGAAGCAGCAATAAGTGACACTATCGAGATAGTTGTTCAATCGACAACTGTCTCGAAGTAGAGAAAACTGTGGAAAGTTGGATGCTTTACATGAAAGAACAGAAACAAGGAATTGAACCACATATCTTCCAAGTTCTTCTAACATTAAAGAGAATTTTCAACAAAGATGAGGATGTTAACTCAAACTGATTCAACGAACAAAACAATGCAAAATGTTAACCTACCATGCCAAAAAAGAGAAGAGGTTTTCTAAGTCCTCATCCAATGGCAGAAGTTCCAAAAATACATGCATGCTAAGACAAAAAAGTTTGAAAGTTGTCCATATGATCATTGTGATTGCATCTGAGAGTAACTTCTTAAGCGTGCAACTGCCTGAGTATTTTTAATTGCCTTCTTAACAAGTGAACATAAAACAACCAGAGATGACCAGTTTACCACCTCCTCAGAGAGTCCAACTCTTGATGCCATGGACTTCAAAAATATGCCTCTTTTATGATGCAAAAGCTACTTATGTTGTTTCTATGAAAACTATGAAGCTAATAAATTGGCTATAGTTGTAACTTAGAGGAACATCTAGATTATTTGAAGACACTTCTTCGGATAGTATTATCAGTGTCAAAAAATATGAAGTGTATGGTTGCATCTTGGAGCTTTTGAGCACTGAAAATTATGCTTTATTAATGTATCGATAAAGATCAAAAAATAACAAGCAATAAATGTAACATTTGAAGTGATTGATGTGCATGACAAGAAATCATGCTATCATCATGAAGTGATTGTTGTGCATCTGTTAATTATAAATTAACCATCTAAAGATGTTCAAGAAGTTGCTAATTTTTTCACCATAACTAGAATCTGTTTCCTTACCATATGTCGCTCTGGCAATTGTTAAATATAAAGTGGTAAATATTTCTCACTGTATTAAGATGGCAACAGATATTGCTCAAAGAACCTTAGGAGTTAGGACCCAAATGTTGGCCCTTGTCAGATCACTTATGTTACCTGTCAGAATTTAGCGAGATGAAATTATACATCAGTTGTTATTTTGCAGTAAGATGGCAGATGAGATTCCTCCAATTATGCCTATGAGGTTGACATCAGTTAGTTTACATTGTTGTGCTTTGTGCCATCAGCTGGTAAAGAGAAAGCTTTGCACTCTTACTAGAAAACAGATTGTCAACTATCACAATCTCAATGGTTTTCTTGCACCTAATAAGCACATTATGATTGCCATAAACTACAAATATTAAATCACTTAAAAATATTAATCACCAATGCTTAAAAACCTTTGAATGTTGCAGTAAGATGGCAGATGACATTCTTCACATTATGCCTTTGACATTGTTGAATAAGTGAAAATTTCTTGCATATCCACATAAAGTTGGCCAACCTGATGAGGAGCCAACTTTTTTTTCTATTTGAAAAACATAACACCAACCTACAATTAGTTCTTAGAATATACAGACGCTGCAAAATTAACAATGATATCTCAACAAAATCAAATAGTTTTATACTGTTATGTTTTATGCTAGAAAATGGTTTAGTTTAAAGAGAAAGATTTGATGTCTTGTCAATATCAAATAATTAAGTATCAAAAGCCCAATGTTTTTTTTCTTTTTGCACCTATTTAGCATCTCATGGTTGCCATAAACTTTTATGTCAAAAGCTCAATGTTTTTTTGTACCTAGTTAGCATATCATGGTTGACATGAAATATAAACACTAGAATCATTTATAAAGGTAAGAACCTATTAAGATTAAATAGAACTTATTGTTATTATAATTGATTATTGGCTTAAAGACCAATTATGATTATTCCAATCCTGCATGATGTAGTCCATGCACAGTGTGCCCACTCTCAAATTATGTCCATCAACTCTAATCAGTTCTTATCCTTGAGAAGTAAAATTTTCAAATCAACATGCAACTTCATCAAAAACATAGATACCAGGGGCATCTATTTCAAAAAATACCACAGAATAAACATAACTTCTGAAATGAAAAACTAAAGAAAAGTAAGTGGATTAGATTGCTTACATATCTCTTCAACTCTTGTGTTTTAATTTGGAGCTCATTTCTTAATTGATTATTCTCTTCCATCTGCAAAACAACAGCACCAGTTAGAAAAGATACATTTCTGATTGCCTGAGTCACTGAAAATAACTTATTTTTCAAGGGGTAATTAGTTGTTTAGAAAACTACGTAGTCAAAAGTGCTAGGCGCCGAAAGGCACCACGGTCCCAAAATACCCGAGGCACTAGGCACTCGCCTAGGCGGTCACCCGAGCAAAATGAGACACTCCTGAATATTATAATTTAAAATTTATATTTCATGATTAATAAAAATAAACTAAAACTAAAATAACATATCAAACTTGCATGTATTTAAAGAACTAAACTACATTGTTCACTACAGCAGGCAGCTACTGTTCTCAACTGATCCAGTGCACACTGATGTGCAACTTTACATGCACAAAGTTGTATCTTATGTATGCACAGTACCTCCTAATGCTGTTCGAACAACATCAGTTGTCCAATGAATTCATAAAAACTAATGCACAGACCCACTTTATGTGGGAATGCTCAAATGCTATTTCCACTAAAAGCTTTCCACCCAATCTACAATAAGTAACAAACACTCATTGCACGCATACTAGATTCTTGTAAAACTCAATTCCAAAACGATTACCATTGACCGAGTAGAAAACATAACCTCTAGAAACTCCATAGAAAAAAATCCAAAACTCAAGCATAAAAACATCCGAAGAAACAATTCCAAATACTCCAAATTTGATACATCAAAAATGAAGGAAGCACAAGTAATATAGGACGATAGGAGGGTGACATGGGATTGTCTAATTTGCTACAATCTGCTCATATGGACTTTGCTGATGATATGATATTTTTTTCAGCCAACAATGTTGCCTCATAATCTTTAACTCAGCCCACTCAAATATGATAGCTCACCAGCATATTCCCTGCACAAAGTTAAAGTTGTTTCAAGGTGCTTTTCTTCATGACCAAGGAATGCATTAAAGGAGTTGGTTAGCAGTTGTAAAACTCTTAATTTCGAAATTCCCTATGCATGAAGGGTTGTTTCATGCACTAGTACTTATTTTGATGTTTAGGGCTTAGAAAGGACTATAAAAACTGATGATATTTTGACAGAAGCTTTCTTGGAGTACTCCCTTAAACTCTATATCTCTTGGATACGTCCTTGAGTGGTGAGTCTTTTGTTTTCAGTTCTGTATCCTCGTTTATAATCCTTAGGATGGTGAACTTTCTGTATCCCTTTGTGATTTTAACTTGGTGGTGAGCTATTTTTCGATCTTATTTAAGTTTTATCATGAGTTCGTGCATTTTCTATTCAAAACACTCATTTTAGCAAATACAACTGTACTACGACTTTTCTTCGAGAATTTGTTCCTTGTCTACTATGACTTTTCTATCTGAAATACTCATTCCAACAAATACAACTCTACTATCGGTTTTCTATCAAAATCTATTCTAGTTTACCCCTCCATTCTACATCACCCACGGTATCTGTTTGGTATCAAAGCTAAAGGTTAAAGATCATGGCAAAGCAAAATGAAAAAGATATAGTTGATGAAGGTAGTTGTCATGAAGATGATGTTGAGTCATTGAGGCTGCAGCTACGAAGATTGTTGCGTAGTCTACAAGAAAAAAATGAAATAATCGAAGGGCTTCAAAGTAGACACAACCAGCATGAAAATGATGTCCATGAATTTACTTATGATGATGATACACCTCCTCATCCAAGGGAGTCGAGAAGATTTCGGGCAAGACATAGAGTCCAAGACGAGTTGTCACGAACTTAGCTGATTTTACCTAAGTCGTGCGGCACCCTTGCGTGTTCGTCCGCAAAGGTCAACCTCCCCGAAACTCCCATGGTCCCTTAGGACCTACAAAAGATAAAACGGGTTAGAGAAAGTACCTCACTCGGGATCCACAAGCAAACATTCCAGGAAACACTTCATAGACAATGCAAATTACAAATAGACTTTACAAGCTCTAAACAGTTGCACGACAAAAGGTCAAAATGGTCCACTACAGATCGAAAATCTCTCACAAGTGTCCACATGACACAACCTTCATTTACAAGCCTAAAGCGACCACCAAACCCAACTAAAATGGGACTATTAAGCCTTCGGTCATCCCTCTACATGCTGTGCAAAGCATGAACATACCAAAAGATACGGATATATATAAGCATTACATCAAACATCTTGTTTAGAAGTTTGTCCGTGACATTCTCCCCCACTCATTCCTTCGACGTCCTCGTCGAAGCCTTTGTCGACACTGCAACCCCTCGCCTTTGCTGAGTCTTCAATCTTTTTCTCCAGCTGCAATGCGCCTTTTGGCTCACAGCTACTCTCCGCTGCTGTTGTTGAGTAGTCAAACTTTTGATCCGCCATACTGCTTCAACTCGCCAATGACTCTGACTCTAATGTGGGGTTAGCTGAGTTGTGTTGATCCTTGTTGGTTCCTGCGAATCCTTCAGATGAAGGAAAAGACCATCCTTACTTTACGTCAGTCTCTCATATGATTCATGCTGCTTGAGCTGGATGGATGCTTGTTGGAGCTTTGACGAGCATCGTCTCGCAAACTTTTGAAGTTTTTGGGTCTTTCCTCTATAAAATTTGTCCATCGACTCTTCTTTCACTTAGATGTCCCTTCCAAGTAAGTTCGCATCACTTCCACTTTCGATCGACATTTCGTTGGGAAATGAAGCGGACAATCTACTCTCAGTAGCACTGATCACCGTTGGTGAGGATTTGACAACTATTGTCTTCCATTATCTTCGAAAGGTCTTTGAACCTGTGCAGAGCTCCTCTGCTGGATAGATAAGAGAATTGAGGTACTCGATTTCGCCCATTCTCTTAAGAGTTGATAAGGCAAAGGTTACTTGACTTCACCCGCCTCCTTGAGGTTGTACTCCATGCATCGAGCTGGTTACTAGCCTTCGCCTGCTCTTTGCTCACACTTCTGAAACACTCGAAGTGTTTGCACTCCTTGCATTGAGTTAGCTACTGTGATTCACCTTCTCAATACCATCGAACTTCTAGAATGTAGGAACTTTTCACCCCAACTTAGAGTAATTCTCTAATAGATTTGGTCGCCTCTGGAATTGTACCGTCTTCTCCATCAACCCTGCCGCCTACTCCATTGAGTAGCAAAGGTACAGCACCGCGTACTGCCTGCTTCGTTCTTTGGTTGTGCACTCTTGCATGACCCGAAGTCCTTCAATTTCGGCTATCTTGATGAGAAGCTAGTTGACACAGGTCATACGAAGTTCCTTGGCCTCTGCCCTTCAGCCTTATCTCGGTACTTAGAGTTTGCCTCTGCATGCTCCACCTCCTCAGCCCCTTTCACGACCAAGCGCTCTCCCTCCATGAGAGCAAGGGATCAATGACTTTCACGAAAGTCCTGCCTCTGCGATACCATGGCACTGCCATGCCCATGGCCCTACTATCCGTCGCCTCGCATCTGCATCCCTTTTCTTCACGATCAGTAGATATATCTCTGTGGCACTCCTCCGAGTCTCACCTTCATTCTAACTGATGCTTGATTTTGGATAGCTAAGTCCCTTTGGACTCATCGTCGCTTCCTCGCCCCTTTCAACCCCCTGCTTCAACACCTCTATGTTCTCCAAGCAGCTCCCTTTGGTTGATGGAAAGACAGACTGCAACTCCCATGCATGGCCTCTACCATCACGTTGTAGGGTTTGCACCGATTCTGTTCTCTTTAGCTTCCTTGGCAGCAACGTTCGTTTACTCGACCTTGTCCTCTGACTTGTCGGGCTCCCTTAAGCGAATATGGGCTCTGGAGCAGTCCAACTCTCCAACTGCTTCGATCATACCTCTGCATGATCAAGTCCCTCCCATGGGACTCACTGGTACTTGCATTCGAACTTTTCCCTTGGTGGAACAT